TGCCATTGTTTGAAGCCAAGCAGACAGATTTACAACAAGCTGCTAGCCCTTTCCTCTCCTACTGACAAACATGCGGCCCATCTGCCTCCAATCAATGATGCACGTGGAGATGGAGCCGTGAGATATTTTTAAACACTCCTTTAATTAATTCATTCCAAGGACTTGGCGCTTGGTATTGTGGTTGAGGGGTGAGGGGCCCGCAGAGGGAGGAGAGAGCAAGCGCAGGATCCTGGTAAATAAAGAGATTTGCCTTAATCTGGATTCTAAAACCCTTGCTTGGAAGCATCCTGTTTGCCCCCTACAAGCTGTTAAGGGCACACGGAACAGAAGACCTGCCAGCAAGGCACAGCTAATGGCATTGGGCAGATTTTTTGCAGACTTCCAGGACGAGTTCTTAAAATGCAAACCAAACTAAAATGTTACCTCTAGAATGACTCTTTTGCCGCCTATTGCTAGAAGATTCTAAATTATCCCTGTCTTATTTGATGAAAATATTATAGCAGGTGATTGAAATGAAGAGTAGAGTCAGCTCATTCTGAGAGGCAAGCCAGTCCCCATGGGATCAAAATCAGGATGGAAAACAATTTCGTTGGCCTTTCACAGGGGGAAAATCAGACACTGGGTGTGGTGTGATACAGCTATAGATGTGAGTGGGGGATGGGAAGAGGGGAGATTTTCATTGAAATTAATCTGTGTTGTATGTCAAACTGTGAGAAGGCTTTGCAATCCTGGATCTGTAGGATTTATGGCACAGTGACCCGAGAAATCTCACACTTTGCTTCCATATTGCTTGTTCCTGCAGCCGAAGCACTGTCTCTTAAGGACTTTTCCTTGTCTGATAATTCCCTTCCATCTGACCAAAGGACAGCACCTCCTCCCAGGGCATAAAAGAGGATGAGAAGTGGCCATTTAGAGTGAGGAACAGAACTGCTCTGTTGGTTTTTAACAACCCAGCTTTTCCACGTTACAAGCTTCATTTGGATGTGGAAATTATTTCTTAAGGATTATTTCTTTGAATGTCTCACCAGAGGCTGTGTTAGTCAACATGAAATGGCTTTCTCCTGGTTTCGTTAATAGCTCTTCTACCCAAGGAGGCTGATTGTTATATCCTTGAAAATGAGAAAATGAGAAATGAAAGCTGGAGCCGAGCCTGAGGCATGCAATATGCAAACCCCCGTGGGCCCCCAAGACCCATGCCCCCCACCCCCTTTGCAATAAGTCCGCTCCGTGGGCTCTTCCTCCAGCTGACCTCGACCTCATTCCCGAGGGCACGAGGGAAGAGGCAGTCATTCCGTTTTGCTTTTGTTTGCTTGGAATAATAAATCCGAGGTCTTCCTTGCCAGGGATTTTCCCTTGTCAGCAGTTTTCTGTCTCATTTGCTTTCTAAGTCAGACTGCAACCCAAGCCCTCCTTGGCTTTCACCCCGACCCCTTGCTTCTGGGAGCTGATCAGAAGACAAATAGCCCAGGGGTCCCTGACATACGCGATGACTTAGTGTCTTCCACCCCAAGAAGGTATATCTGAAACGCCCCCCTCTCCAGCATCTGGGTGCTCCGCTATAACTCAGGCAATAATGGACATTAGCCTGTATGCCACCAACTACTTATAATCTCTTTCCAATTTGGGTCAGGGACCTAAAACCATAAATTCTTGCCATGTCAGAGGACATGGGCGCAGGGGAGAAGAGAAAAAAACAAACCACAGTGCTCAACTCTCAAATTAGACTTTGCTTTGCAAGAAAATGCCTCTCAGGGCATGGGGACTACCTGAGTCCACTGCTGACTTTTACAGAAACCGGATGCTAGTCATCCCAATTCCAAATGAGAAATCTCAGGTAACCAGATGGTGTTTGAATGTGCTTTGCAAAGGCCAAGTACACAGGATGACATTAAGAATATTACAAAAGGCAGTTTGTGTATGCCAAAGGTTTGAGAGAAAGCTGGTGATCTTCTCCACTAGATATGCCTAGTACAGTGGTTGGCAAACTCATTAATCAATAGAGCCAAATATCAACAGTACAACAATTAAAATTTCTTTGGAGAGCCAAATTTTTTAAACTTAAACTTCTTCTAACGCCAATTCTTCAAAATAGACTCAGCCAGGCTATGGTATTTTGTGGAAGAGCCACACTTAAGGGGCCAAAGAGTTGCATGTGGCTCGCGAGCCGGTTTGCCGACCATGGGCCTAGTAGACTCTTCAGTGATAACTGACATTTCCAGGTGACGCCCAACAGTTCTGCCAAGTCTTGGGATCTTCCTGGAAAGATGACATTATCATCTATATCATTTATTCTTAAAGCCCATTTTCATTGGACCCCCTGCTTCACAGTTATTGAAAGAATCAAATGTGATACACGAATGAGCTTGGAACGTGGAGTGCGAAACAAACATCAGACATCACTATTGCTTCTAATAATTTAAAAATTGGTAATCAGCATGTTAATTATAATGATATCACCAAATAATCAATAACCACAAAGGTCAGTTTACCATACTATCCCATTCCCCAAACATGCTGGAGCAAACAGAGTTGAACTGAAAATATATACATTGAAAGCATCTATTGCAATTTTCCTTCCTTCTCGGTAATGTACACTTCTTTCCTTTCTTTCTTTCATTCATTCATTCTTTCTTTCTTTCTTTTTTTACTTTTAAATATATTTTTTCTTGATTTCAGAGATGAAGAGGGAGATAGAGAGAGAGAGAGAGAGAGAGAGAGAGAGAGAGAGAGAGAGATCAATGATGAGAGAGAATCTTCGATTGGCTGCCTCCTGCATGCCCCACACTGGGATTAAGACCACAATCCAGCATGTGCCTTGGCTGGGAGTTAAACTGTGACTTTCTAGTTCATAGGTCAACCTCAAATTTTCTCACTGAGCCACACAGGCTGGGCAGCAATGTATGTTTCAAGGAAACAGTTTCAACTTTGTAGAGCTGCTAACAAAGGAGACCAGCCTGAGGATGCTTAATGCACTTCCCTTTAGGAGGCACTTTAGCCAAAGACATCAGAAGAGGCAAGGGAATCTCACCCAGCCCCATGAACAATGTACTGATCCAAGTCCTCAATAGGAGCCAGCCTTGTAAAGGCCAGCTCCCAGACCCTTAGGGTCTTCCTACCTCCTCAGGGAGCCTGGTACCTGAGGTCTATCCAGCAAGAACTCAGTAAGTGCATCTGGAAGAAGATATGGGAGGAAGGAAAGACCAGGGCTTCTGACAATGTCATCTGCTCATCCACGACTGCTCTGAAATGAGAATGGGTTCTAGGTCTTTCTGTATTTGTTTCCAAGCTTTTCAAATGTTCTCATCTCTTTCATCTCAATACAAGTTCCCCTGACCAATCTCTTTGTCATTATCCACAGTGCACAAATATAGCATTTTAAAAAATATTGCAAATCACATCTGCTCCGTATGGAATGTCAAATCATTCGGCAGCTCTCATTTAGGACAAAGGTGAGATACACACACTTAATTTGGAGATGTCTGTTGTCTTAACCTCTCCCTTCTTTATCTGGCCATGAGAACAAGGAGTGGGTTGGATACGGGACTTGAAAAACTGCCATCATCCATCTCTTTCACAGATGTTTTCCAACCGAGCCTGTACCAGCAGGGGTAGATCCAGAAGGGCCCGGAGGAAGCAAGAAATGCCTTCCTATTTTTTTTCTTATATGAAAGATTCCTTAATGAAACCGGGAAGGCACTGAAGTTGAGTCAGGTGGGCTCTTAATATTTAATTCCAGAGACAACCCACCACCCTCCTACAACACAGTGTCTTCCCGGAGCATCTTAATAATAATCAAAACGGTCCAACTGCTGAACAGTGAAGATGAAGAGAGAAAAAATCTCCTACTACCACACGATGCCAGCTTCAGAGGACAGAAAAGGGCTGCGTTCTAAACACAGACAGACAGGCTTAGAAATAGTTTCCATTGTGGGAGATTGGAGTCTAGCGATGTGACTCTGAGATCACCTCTTCACTCCTCCTGAGAGACCCCGTCCCCCCGAACAAGCCTGCAGAGCTGGCAAAAATGTATTAAAGAGAAACTGTGGTAAGCGCCAGCATCATCCTTGATGCTGGACCACGGGCCCAGAGACGGGCTGATGTTTCTTTTCCACACAACCTGGCACTCCTGCAAGTGGCCCGTGCAATTTTGAGAATTAACCAAAGGACCAAATAGTCTTTTGATTCCTACTCAGGCTCCCTGGAGCTGGGAAAGTTTCCAGGGACATCGTTCTGGATCCTTCCATTGAGATCTGACTATTGGGAGGGATCCTTTCGCCCCTTGCAGCCCCATCTCCCCCATGTCTCTCTCTGGGTAGACAGGTGTTTTTGTGTTTTTTTGTGTTTTTTTTTTTTTTTTTGTCCCTGGGAACAGTCTCCATCCAACTACAGTCTCAGAAGGCAGGAAGGACTCCACAGCCCGAGGGCAGAAGGAAAGGGAAAAGCAGACGCTAACCCAACCCGCTGATGCCTGGGGACTCCTGCCCCTGCCCCAAACCGCTTCTTTCCCGCCTCTTCCCGGGAAGCACCCAAATCTCTTGCACTCTCCCTTGGAGCTGGCCAGGGAGATTCCATGCAGGGACAGGAGGCGGCTGTCCGCGCTGCACAGACTCCAGTTCAAGGCGCGCGCGCAGGGCCTCGCCCCGCCCCGCGGGTCCCGGTCATTCATCCGCGGGTCCTCACCTTCCAGCCGGCGCCGCGGCCGCCCCGCGGGGTCCGCCGCTCACGCCGTGCCCACTCTCCGATTGCTTTTAAATCCCCAAAGCCAACCTCATGAGAATCTTTTTCTCGCTTCTCACACCCGCAATGTCCCCTTGAAACGCATAAAACCTCCCATCTCGCGCATCCTAAGCAGGAGGCTTGGCAAGAGAACACCGGTCCCCACGCCACCATCCCACCCCCCGCCGCCCCCGGCCATCAACCCGGTGAGGACGCCTCTCGGTCCCCCTGCCGGTCCGGGGGCCACCCCTTCGCACGGTGGATACAAAGAGAAGCCCCCTCACCCTTCCGTGGATGCCATGGTGCGGGGAACGCCCCCTCCTCTTCGGCACGAACCGGCGGCGGCGGCGGCGGGCGAGGGAGCGGGCGGGCGGGCGCCGGGCTGAGCGCGCGGGGACGGCCGGGCGCGGTATTTAACGGGGAGCCTCTCCCCGCCTCCCGCCCGCCTCCCGGGTAAGCCCTTCCGCGCCCCGACGGGCTCGGGCGGCTCTGCGGGCGCTAATCCGCGCCTCGGCTCTCCTCCGCGCGTCCTGCTCTTCGGGGCGCTCGGCGGGGCGCGCGGGGGGCTCCGGAGGTGGCTCCGCGGACCGAGCGCCGCCCCGGGGACACCTGTGTGTTCAGCGGGGCTCTTGGGCGCAGCGAGTGGCGGAGGGTGGTGGCAGGGGAGGACGTGTGTGTGTGTGTGTGTGTGTGTGTGTGTGTGTGTGTGTGTGTGTGTCCGCCAGGGGAGGCGGAGGGGAGGCTGCTGCGCCCTGGCTCAGCGCCGGCCGGGGAGGGATTGCAAGGTTTAGCCCCGCCGGAGCTGGGGATTTGCAGGCGATCCCTCTCTATTTTCGTCCGGAGCTGACATCACGCGCGACGCAGCCTCTGGAGACTTCTTTCCTTGCCGCCCCCTCCCCTGTTCCCCCCAACTCTAGACGCGGCCCCTCCTCCTCCTTCCCTCCTCCTCCCCCCAGCCTCTCGCCATAAATTAGCCAAATAAGAAAAGGGACCTCGCCGGTTGCCGGGGAAGGCCTGAGCAGCCTCGTGGCAGGAGCCCAGGAGCTAAGGAGTCGCTATTGTTCCCTCTCCAGTCCGCGTGGACCCGGGTCACCCCGCAGGGGCGGCGCAGGCTCCGGCGCTGGGATCTGGGATGCCCGTCCGGTTGTTAGGCCCAGCCTCCCTCCCGGGAGGACCCCTCCGCCTCACGCTCACCTCAAGCGCACCCGCACCGGCGGCACACCCTCTGCACCCTCCCACGTCCCGGGTGCCGGGCCCCGTGGAATCCTAGCGACCTAAACACGCGGGTGGCGTGGCCAACATGAACCCAGCTGCGCGCCCTCCCTGGCCGCGGCTCGGATAATAAATCTCTGGCCTTCAATTATTCATTGAATGTAATATGAATGCAGTTCCCTGGGGGCGGCGGGCGGGAAGCAGAGGCTGTGGTGTTTTTAAGCGGAGGGGAGAGGGCTGGGGGCGCTGGCTGGGAAGGCACGGAAAGATGGCCCAGGTTAGTGGCCTGGAACGCGTCTCCACCCACTGGGCTCTTCCGGCCCCAGGCTCCTGAGCCCCAGGGACAGCGCACAGAGACAGATGGGCTGGGGCCAGGGAGGGTCTGCGATCCCCTCTAGCTTTGCATAATAATGAAGAGATCCGTGCCAAATGTATTCTTTGCTATCTAGAGGACACCTTCTACCGCCTGCTCGGCAGGGAGGAAAAGCCTCATTTTCCACGTCTGCAGAAGGGGATCAGAAATAACCCCCTTTGTAAGGCCCCTCTGGGGTGAGAACTGCACAGGCTCTCTTGAGAGAGAGATTTGCAGAGTATAAACGCACCAGAGATGTAGGTGGAGCATGCTTGTGGCTTGGGACCTGCCAGGCTCCTCCAGGCTGGGTCTCCGAACCAATGATGTCCATTAGACGCAGGTGTCCCTGGTCAGCTCTCCTGGGGGAGGCATTCTTCCTTCTTGGCTGCGCTGACCCTGGTAGGAAGAAGGAATGCGTCTAACTACATGGACACTCCCAGAGCTCCTCCCAAGCTCAGTGGTTAAAGGCCAAGCACTGGTACCTGAGAGCCTGAGTCAGTTCTTCATCAACTCCCAGTGCAGTTGATGGGCAAAGTCCTCAACTTCTCGGCATCCCACCTATGAAATGGGAGTCTCAGCCTCAACCTCACTGAGCCAAGAGCAGAGAACATAATGAAATGTAAAAGATAGGCAACGCTGTGAAGCTAGAGTCTGGCACCCAATGACCCCTCAAAAGATGTTCAGTTAAATAGAAGGGTCCTTCGAAGATAGTTTCTTGAACACAATATCCAAGGACAAATAGGAAGTTGAGAGAAAGGACAAGAACAAGAGAAAAAGAAATAAAGGGACTTGAAATTAAGGGGGAAAAAACTGAAAAAAAGAAAAGAAATGGAATTAAAAAAAAAATCTCTGCTCACCTCCTCCCTTCACCTCCCTTCCCAAAATCTGAGTTCAAACATCTTCTGCCATCCATGCCTTCCTTTATCTCTCCTTCCCTCTCCTCTCCCCTCATCCCCTCTTTCCTGTCTGCCCCATTAGATTAACCAGGTCTGTATCTTATTCAACCTAGAATTTTCACAACCCCTCTAATTTTTAGTTATTAAAGTAATGTATAAATCTGTATTAAATTTATGTACTCTGGTATATGGACTTAAAACTAATAATTTGTGGATGAAAAGCTACTGTCCTGCACGTTGGTACTTGATACTGCCTTCTCCTTAGTCCTACCGAGGACTGTGGCCTTGTAGCTGACTTTGTTTGGTACAAAACCCTTTTCTCTTTACAGTGCAGGATTTGACTTCCCGTTCTGCTGAGGTGGCAGCTGGAGAAAAAACCTTAGGGCTCTCTCTGATCCCAGCAGCGCTACTGCAACCCCTTTAAGATGAGCATGAATGAACTTCCCATCACAATCCCTCCATATCCACACGCACACATGCCCAGTTGAGCAGCAACAACCAGTAGCACTCTCCACAGAGAGCAAGGCACATGGTGGTACAGAAACAAGGAAAGTAAAAGGAAAGAGAAAAGGGGTGGCATTGTTTTAAAACCATCCAGTTAAAAAAGACTCTCAGGGCATTATGCTATGTGAGATAAGTAAGACAAGGTACGGTATCATTTATATGTGGAATTTAAAACAACCGAACCTGTAAAAACAGAGTGGAATGGGGGTTTCCAGGGACAGGAGTTTGGGGGAATTGGGAAGATGACATTTAAGGGTACAAATTTGCAACCAGAAGGTTAAGAAGACTTGGTTGATGTATGTCCAGCCTACCTAGTGCTTATGGATAACAATGCTGTACTATAGACTTCAATGTTGTTAAGAGACTAGATGTTAATTGCTTCCACCACACACACACACACACACACACATACACACATACAAAATAAATGATAATTATGTGACATGACAAAGGGGTTAGCTAGAACTATAGTGATAATCATTATGCAATATATAAATGTATTAAATCAACACCTTGCACATCTAAAACTTACATGATGTTGTATGTCAATAAAATTATATCTCAATAAAATTTAAAGCCACTCAGTTATGTTTTCAATGTTCAGGACCTGAATCAGGTAAAGCATCACGCATGGCCAGATTAGATGGGAGTTTGTGATGTCACTTTGCCCCTTTCTCTATAAGGGACCATCTTTGGGAACCTTGGCGTTCCATTCTACCCTTGAGAGGCATTTGCGTTCAGTTGTGCTTAGAGAAGAGGCCAATTACATCACGTGGAATGTGCCACAGATAGTTCCAGATAACATACGTTCGTTAGCTAGAAGGAACTGATTCTCTTTGCTCTCACCAAAGGGCCCCTGCCAACATTCCCACCGAGCCTTCATTTCCAGAGCAAACTGGAGCAGTTCTTTGCAATGCTGGCTGCTCATGAGAATGTACTGGGAGAGCTTTTCACAAAACAACAATGCTCAAAGTGCCTTCCATGAATTTTGGTTCCATCAGCCTGAGGTGTGTGACCCTGACCAATATTATTTTTAAAAACTTCCCCAAGTGATTGATCCTACTGTGCAGCCAGTGTCAGGAGCCAGTGGACTAGAAATAGTTCATGATGGAGAGGGATCCAGAAACAAGGCCCCCAGAAGTAGCTGGAGAAAATATGCGTGTTTAGCTTTTGGAAAGAAAAAAAAAAAAAAAAAAAAAAAAAAAACCAAGAAGGACATGCTACATAGCTGACCTTCCTCTTTCCAAATATAGGGAATTAACATTTTTGTCCAGGCAAATACTGGTGTGTTATTCGGCACAACGAATGTGGGAAGCCATAGAAACATAGGACTTTCTTCTTAGGTGGTACACATGTGGAACATGAGGCTAAGCCTCTATAACTACACTGCCCCACCTCAGCACTGGGTCAGCATCTGCCTCCTGGGCAGGCACACCTGCATTAAATCCTGCCCATGCATGTTAGACTCTGTGATACCTTAGGCTGGGCACTTAATTATATTTTTATTTTTTTCAATATATTTTTATTGATTTTTTTTACAGGGAGGAATGGAGAGGGATAGAGAGCTAGAAACATCGATGAGAGAGAAACATCAATCAGCCACCTCCTGCACACCCCCCACTGGGGATGCCCCCACAACTAACTAAGGTACATGCCCTTGACCAGAATCGAACCTGGAACCCTTCAGTCTGTAGGCCGATGCTCTATCCACTGAATCAAACCGGTTTCGGCCTTTATTATATTTTTAAAGTGAATGTTCATGCCACATGTAAATAATGACAGTTTTATTTCTTTTTTTAAAAAAATATATTTTTATTGATTTCAGAAAGGAAGGGAGAGGGAGGAAGGGAGGGAGGGAGGGAGGGAGGGAGGGAGAGAGGGAGGGAGAGAGAGAGAGAGAGAGAGAGAGAGAGAGAGAGAGAGAGAGAGAGAGATCAATAATGAGAGAGAATCATGCATCGGCTGCCTCCTGCACACCCTACTGGGGATGAAGCCCACAACCTGGGCATGTGCCCTAACTGGGAATGCAACTGTGACCTCCTGATTCATAGGTCGATGCTCAACCACTGAGCCACACTAGGCAAGGCTGGGTACTTTAGGTTCTCAGCTTCCTACTCTAAAAACTGGAGAACATAGCAATGGCCACCTCAGGGCTGCCAGGAGATTCAATGGGACAATATATAGGAAATGCTTAGCTCTGAGCCTGGCACATAATGAGCACCTTCTAAAGGGCCATCCTAGACATGTGGGAGCTGCCAACATGTGCCCAATTGAATCGGTCACTGAGTTCACTTGAAAACCTAGCCTCCCCTAAAGCCATATAAATTGTTACCCTAT